GCTCCGGAAACGAGCACTCAAACGAGTACATATCAGTATCATCGTCATTATCATCAGCATCAGAATGTGATGCTTGCATCGGGGTTCTGTGGCGTCTACAGTCATGTTTTCAATATCATCGTAGGCGGAGGTAATTATATTCTCCGCTGTAACTTTGCTTTGACTAATGAATAACGATACGCGTGGTAAACGTCCCCTGAATGAGAACACAAATGACACGTGAAGGTAAGATAACAGGCAGATTGATGCGTGGAGGCTAAAGAGGGCATGCAGAGTGTCTAGGCTAATCCATATTTTGTGGAGTATCAGTTATCTCAACAGTATTTAGACGCATTATTCCAAGAACGGGAAGCATGGTTCTATTCTGGAAGTGCTTGTTTGGACCAAAGTTGCACATTCAGTCAAATGTAATTACAACGACGTGCTCACCAGAGATGTGCAAACTTAGTAGCCCCTAACTTCGCAAATACGTCCGAATTTGTCCTCGGCTTGTGTACTATATAAATAGCCACATTGCGGCGAAACAAAGTGGTAATAAATTATTACCCACTGAATCAAAGGAATGGATACAGAGACATTCATTTTGTGCGGCTGTGTATATAACATTTTCAATACGATTCCCATATAACCGCATGCAAATTATAGACGAGCGGACGAACGAATTTGACCAAGATAGATTTTTATGTTTATTACAAACACACGTTACTTCATCTCACCAACTAGTATAGATTTCTCCGCTCACGTTGCCTAGCAATTTCGGTGCTTTCCCTGTAACAGCCAACGATGTTGGTACGTCAGTGTTCTGGGACCTGGTTTATACAACAGGTCACTCTAGGCTGCGGTAGTGCGGAGCATGGGAGCGTTTCTCTGATACAATGAAGCTACATTGTCAGGCCAGACGATTAGTGGTGGCTTGAAAACCATCGAATTCGTGTTTTTACAACACCATAACCCCTACTCACCGGCCGAAATCCAACCTAAAATATGGGTGAGGATGTCCGTTTTTAACTAACGTGAATCACAGTATGCACCTCAGTAATATCTGAAGTTTATACGACCGGGAATTCACCAGAGGGCCCAGTGACCCAAGTTGAGAGGTGAGGTGATGGATTATGATGTGTCCTGGAGGCGGCGCCAACTGATGAAAGAGGATACGACAGGGGCGACCCATCCCGTGGAATCTACACCTGATTCAGAAATTGCCCATTTCTTCACCGTTGATGTCATCGTCTCCCCTGCCGTGACGACCGGCACAAATATATTTATCGTGATAATGCCAGAACACTTCTCGCAGTGAATCGAAGCGGCAGCCTTGTGAAACGAACCGGCGACGTCAATCAGCGGAGTTGTAATGCATCACATCGTGGCCAAACATAGGATGCTGAAAATGATCGTAATCGATCAGAGGCCTTGCTTTGAGAGCGAACAGCTCAATAGTTGGAGAATATTCACTCATTTGCAAACTAATATGCGATGTTTGGTTTATCGGGAGACTCACCTGAAACCCAGTTGAATTTCACGTTTGTGATGTTCCCAAGCAACTGAGTGTGCTGCACCAGGCCGCTCCATGTTTCAGTTGCTACGATATTCGCGATATCGCGAAACATGTACAATTGCAGTGCGCTACTCATAATTTGCTGAAAATTCGTCGACAGCCTACGACTGGTTCTGCCCTTTTTGGGGTTCAGCAGATAGGCGCAACCCCCGCGGGTGCGCCAGCACTCCCCGAGGTTCCGTCAAACATGTATTATAGTTGATACCAAATTGCACTAAATTGGCGAGTATACACTCGTTTGCAAACCCAGGTGTTGCTTACAGAAGTCCGAAACCGGACGGAAACGGACGGCAACATATCAACCCAAACGAGCGATCTAATCGAACGATCAAGGGCTGCCAGGTGACCGAAGGAGGCGACTGGTGTCAACGATGCTGCTAGCTTATCGTGCTTCCATACAGTCAGCCAAAGGCAAGTCCATCTTCATGGTGATGTACGGTGGACATCCGCGTCTTCTGGTTGATCAGAAATTTGGGTTACGGCGGGTATCCCCGTTTACATTTGCCTGATAGTCAGGGAATATCCAGTGAATTTCAATAAGATGCGTTTAAGAGAAGAATAACAATACTTTATTTTAAAACAAGTTGCATGAAAGGGTTTTGGTTTACTGTCACATGGCCTGCGATGGTGTATTCTGATAAACATCTACGCGGCTGGGGGCTTCCTACGTTCACTGACACATAAATTACAAACTGGCCATTGCAGATATTCCGTATACGTGCCGCTGAATACCAGTAACTAGACCATTGAGTCCTCCGAAATCAATGAGCTAGAATTTCATCACCTTCAAACTAACGAATTCATGTTTGATTTATCGCCGGTAGGTAGCTAGGCTCTAGGGGCTTGCGTGTTGACTATGTTCATTCTGGAAGTCACACCAAATACACGTTTTCTGGAGATCCTTCAACAGCTCACCATCTGTTTCGTCATTCGTCGTTATCGGTCCCCGAGTTTCCACCTAACCCATGTTCCACTTTAACCGAACTTGGACAGATTTTGAGAACTTCGCTCATTTGCACGTGAATTCGGTTTTGACAGGAGACTGAGATGAATCCAGTTGAATTGCCTGTTTGTGGTTTTCCGCTTCAACCGAATTTGGTGCACAAGGCTGCTTAGTATTCCAGTTGGTGCGATATTCGAGGTACACAATACGCCGTAGTTTAGGCGCCATATATTACTGTTAAATTAGCTGAAAACTCTTAGACAACACATGACAGGTCGCTCCCCTCTTTGGGGCTCCCTCAAAACCGAATTCTTGTGTGAATGAGATTAGTTGTCCTTTGCTAAATAGGATGAAACTGTTATAAACTGATTCGCGGTTTTCCAGTTTGGATTGGCTTCTCCAACATGTCAGAGGAAGGATAATTTGATTGAATTGCGAAACTTACTCCTAGTTATTGGTGGCTGGAGGAGGCGGTCAACACGTGACCATGCAATATTGTTTTTCATTATTGAAGGATAAGCGGCAATATGTCCCATCTTGGTGAGAGCCAACTGGGAGTTAGTAGCGAACATCATCCTCGCAGAACGGACACGGTTTACGATAGATGAATTATGGAAGTTATAAAAGCAGGTCTCAATCCCAACTACTTCGTTTTTTGACTTGATGGTTTATACCCAATAAGAAGGTTTAACGATTAAATCTCAAATGCCCTTGGTTTGGTAGCTATGCTTACGTAAGAATTTGGACGGTGAGCTTTATCTGGATTCTCAGGCCAACTAAGATATTCTGGCCGTATGCATATAACACTCGTGTCATAGTGGAAGGAGAAGA